ATTGTGCCCTTGAAATCCCCTCAGCACGAGCTCTATTTCTTCCGGGTGAAAGAATGACTCTGTCATCGCCGGAACCCGGGCAGTTTGAAGGACTGGTGTAGATCCTCCATCCGAGTGATGCACCTTCTCAAAGAAACGTTTTAGGATTCCAGCTTTCTCTGTATCACTCCCAGCATGCTGCCCGTTTTCGTCTCTCTCACAGCCTACTGCTGACCTCAGAGCGGCCGTAGACTGGATGTAGTTGGAGTGCACCTTTGGGCGTGTCTTGACCTTAATTGCGAGACACTTTCCATACCTCAACTGATATGCTCGCTGAACCCTCAGCGAAGCTTCGGCAGCCCTTCTGTATTGTAAAAGCCTTATATAGCTTCTTGTTCCTCTAAAACGTGCCCATACAGCGTGTTTCCGTCGTTAGGCCTTGCCCACTTCACTCATCTACCACGGGAGTCTTCCTTGTCTCCGGATTTTCCACAATGGAACAAATTCTTGCGTAAATTTAGTAAGGTTACCCCTTAAAACTCCCCGCAGTTCCCTAACTGTTTGTGCTTTCTCCCCAGCTTAAGGTGGCGGCCCTGTCCAGCAAATGTTCTTAGACTGCAGTACCCAAACGCTTTATCCGACTAAAATTCCCACCCTCAGGTCACCTCTAAGCTTCTCTATCTGTGTCACATTCTAATGCAGAAGCTGAGCTTATGTTGTTGCACTGGTCAACCTTCAAAATTAGATTAGTGAAAAACATTCCTTTTATCCGAATAATTGCACAACGTTTATCCTCCATAATTTCTCCAATTTTTTATCTGTTCATCCATGTTAGTCCCACCGAACTATCTCTTCCCCGTGGCACAGGCTGACGAGGCATTAGTGTTCATTTATAAACGCTTCCCTTATCGCTTCACTCGTCATGCGTCAAACCTAGATCTGTGGAACCCAAATCTTTCAGGGGGAAAAATACACTAGACTTGCCAACCTTAATTCTTGACATTATAGTTCCTTCCTGTTGTGTTGGAACCTCTGATTCGCTTCATCTCTTCGTCTTTTTCACCCACGTTTTCTATGTGCGCACTTTCCTTTTAAATATATATAAATGTATATATACTTTCGGGCACTTACCCTCTCCGCATATTCCTTCGCAACATGCTGTTCCCCTCTTCCGTTCTCAGCTGGGTATTACCCCAGACTGCCGAGTTTTGCCCTTTTTGTTCCAGATTCGGTTGGCTTGGGCCTGCCGAAGGCTTGGAGTCTACACCTACAATGGATCATTTGGCTCCGGCAATGGTTTTGGGCGTGGTTGTATCCACCGTTTTTGAATACATGCTTCCGCATTCCGGACCTGGTTGAGGATCACACCCCCTGCCTCACCTACAAGGTGTTATAAGGTTGGGTGTCTAGCGTGTAGTTATTCCCACATCGAAGCGACTAACGCCTCAATAAAAGCGCCTCAATAATAAAACCAATCAGTCCGTTAACGGTGAAGTCCCGAATTTCATTGTTCCGTGATCACAGAATTCCTTTCAACTGTAAGAACATTTGGAACAGTTTATTTATAAGTCATCTGTCGTCTCTTTTTGAACTACTGTACTCTTCTTCAGCTCGATTGCAGGTCTACCTGTGAAATTAGCGGTATTTCTTTGTCGCTGTTCTCTTTCTGTTCTTTGAACTCATTTCTGCGCATTTCCTCCCGAGCGGATCCTCCAACTCCCAATTTTCTGTCTTGCCCTTACTTTTCATAAGACAAACGTTCACAACGACGTGTATTACAAAACACATCATCCCCAATACTCCATTTTATGACCTTGTCCACTTTGTGTTTCATTTCCAACGCAAGGCACATTTACGATACTCTACGTACCTGTTTGAAAATTACGTTCCCACACTCTTGGTACTATTTCTTTTTGGTCCTCACTGTTCACTTTTCATATTGTTGTACATTTTGATCATGCACACTGGTATGTTTCGCGGACTTTGCGAAATATACCTTTCTTCTTATTATTATTAAAAAAGAATGTTCGTTCTTTTAAAGGACCGTCGTATGTTATCCGGTGGGTTGCCTGGCGTAGAAGCGTATTACTATGTGGTCGTTGCGACCAATTGGAGCTCTCAGCACCAGGTTTCTTACATCATTTGGGCACTTGGTTATGACCAAGTCAAGCACTCCTGCTGTGCATCCGGCCCTCCATCTCTTGGGTTGCAGTACGTGCTGAATTAGGTCCCGCTCCCGTAGAAACGCAATCAGGCGAACCCCGAAGGATGTTGGAGGAACCCATTCGTCCTGCAGGTTTACTTCTGGTGTGTTAAAGTCACCCAATATCACTGTTATCCATTGCTTCGTCTACGGTTTCCAGTAGATCTAGCAGGGAAGCGTCTTCCTCCGCGCTCGTTCATGGGCTTCTGTCAACGCAAACGAAGTTGACCCTCCCGCTCCCACTTTTGACCTTGTATGAAGCAGCCTGAATCCACCCGAGATCTGTTTGAATTTGATCTTCCCCCTCTACTTCTGAGCCCCCCTCAGCAACCCTAACATCTATTTCAGGTCTTTATTCTGTGTTCCGCTTGGGTCGATTCTCTTCGGCTAACTGGCCTCTGGGGTGTCTAGTTTTCGGCCCGAGTGTGTGTTCCATTCCCTGTACTTTCACTGGCATTCCCTCGGGTCCCTCCCCCGAGGGGTGAGTTCGTCTTTTCGGACCCCGGTAGTGAAGGTTGGCGGATAGTTTGTCTGGGTGCTTGCCGCCTCTCTTAGTGGCATGATGCTTGTATCGGATGTGAGGTAATTATCCTCAACATCGGACTTAATAGGTTTCCGAGCCTACGCCCAGCAATACTGGCATACGTTTCTTGAGGGGTCGTGTCGGTAGTCTGCGTGAGCTTGTCTTGCACTCTTTCGATCGCTAACCTTGGTGACTTCCACTGGCCAGCTAGCGATGTCTCCCTTGAAACGGATACGTTTCTAAATTCTCCATTCCCCATAGTCAAGTGATCGGGTTCAATTATGACCAAACCGAAAGTCACCATCCTCTCTCTATCTGACGCGGTCCGGAAAGCGCCCCGGGTTCCGAACTCAACCAGCACCGGTCTTGCCGCTCCCTGGCTATTATCCGTTCTTCTTGTTCATCTACCCAGTCTAAATACCCTTCTGAGAAAAGCGTGGCCGGAGATACTTGCCGCCGAAGCAGGCTGGTGACCGAGTTTCGGAGTTCCCTTTACCTCTGTTTTGGGTTTCAACACAGAGGCTCAGAAATGCCTTTAATTACTATGTTCCATTGACTACACAGTGCTATCTCACTGCTAGCCTCAAGTTTGAGCATGGCCGTCCCGAGCCGATTAAACTTCTGCAGAAGGGACTCCAAGTGCCACTCGTGTTACCTGGTCTTAACCTCTAGCTCTTTAATTTTCCGTTTCAGTGTGTTAACCGTACGGTGTCCTTGCTGGCACTATTTTAGGTACTACATCCTTGGTATCGGTTTATCACCGTCGTGTCCTTTCGCCCAGAATCTGAGCCAATACATGTGGTGTTAGTTAGAGTACTCGGCTGTCTTGCAACCATCGCGGGTACCTTACTACACCCTGTGCACACCCACTTGAGAACTCTGTGTTCTGTGTAGAATGTCAACGCTTCTTTAGGCCACTGCACGCCTGGTGGTACCACTTCGCACAGCTGTCGCAACGGATACCTTCCTTGACATTCGTTGAACAACTTGAAATATTGCATGGGTATTCTGTGGACTGGGGTGTATTTCTCGCTTAACCCAGACATTTTGCGGCACTACTCCTGGTTGTTGGTATACCGGTAGCGTAACTTCTCAAAACGTAACCAACCATGCGGAGGACAATTAAAAGAAGGATACCACAATGGTTAAAACTAAAGATAGTGACTACCAAAAGTAACACCAGCTTTGTCAAAACATTCCTGAAAATTAGCTAAATCAAAGAGTTAACACAAAAAATAGATACGAAACTGTGACGATCGTAGAAGTAGCAGTAGTAAAATTATGCACAGAATTCAGGACACGAACTACGCAATAGGAATCACGGAACACGAATTAGAAATCCGGTGGCACTAGACCGCAATGGCTTGAACTCGCAATAACCCGCCGGATCAAGATGCGAGGAAAATGGCCACAAGACAGACGAATCACCAAGTCGTTTATTGAAGGAAATGAATGTGAATATATATGTGCACAAAAGAAGATCATTGGCTACCTTAGTTTCCACCAATAGTATTGCATCACATCTGGCGTCATACTGCTCTTCTCTGCGTTGTATCTGATTGGCTGGAACGGTCCACCAATGACGTGTATCCGGAGGCTGTGCACGTGCTACTGGCCTCAGCGCTCAAGGTCGATTGACTACCAATGTCCGGAAACTGTACCGCGCTGCTCCAGGGCAGGCGTAATCTCGTAGGTCCGAATCACCACAACTCTCCTCCCTCAAAAGAGCCTCGTCGAATTGGCTTGCTCTTCTGATTGGTCTTCGGAGTGCTAGCAGGGTATTCTCGTCAGTAGACGTTCTAGTTGCCTGCAAGACAGGGCAAATGCAAAAGGCAACCATGAACCAAAGGTCCAGTGAGTCATGTACATGACTCACATAAAATTCAAAATGGCTACGTCCGTGGTTTCACCACATCTGCGCCAGCTTTCGAACCTCAATTCCCCGCGGGTTTTTTTCGTCTGCAGGATCACTTAGAGGCCGGGTATGTATCCTGAAAAAAAGCTAAAATGTATTACAGACAGAAAAGCAGTCTAGACGGATTCCAGCTGCGAAAGGAAGGGATAGAGACACACTGTAATGCATCCAGTGAAAAGCAGTTGACACCCATGTTGATCCCTACTAGGCGGTTTTTACGATGAGTGCCAGTGGTTTGCAGGTTTCAGGTTCCGTGGATCACCATGATTACTGCCGACTGCTGCTATTGTTTCTTTATTTCATTTTAGATCTTAGGTACGCAGAGATATTTGGCAAAAGTATATTGGCTGTGATGATATGCACGAAATATTGTGTGTGGTCCACGTGTGGCTCGATTCAATCATCTTAACTAATTAATTTATTATACTCTTGCACACATACTACCATCAACTCTTGCCTATTATTAGGTTATACTACAGTGCTTGCATACATACGTGAGGACATGCAAGTGTACACTCATTCATTCCATCGCGTGCAAAGAACCCCATGCGCATGTGCATACCTTGATTTATGCTGGTTAACATCCGTACGGTCCCAGTAGAAGAACTAGAGAGGCGAGTGTCTCCACTAGGTGGTATCGGTTGGTGATTGATTGCCCAGAAGAGCATTGCCTTGTTACTGTGGGCTTCGTCCTTTTCTCTTCTGTTTCTTCCCGCTGTGTCACTCGTTTGAACATTACCTCGGTTTCAAGTTCTCGCATGCTGTAAGGTGGAATTCCGGTCATATGGGACTAAGTCAGATAGAGGCTAGTCGAAGAGTGTTTCTGCAGCCTTAATAGAATCACTCTGTAGGGGTCATGCGCACTTGATCATTAGTCACTCATGTGGGGTAAAAGAAAGGAAAGATTGAAGGACAGGAGTTTAATTAGCAGCCAGGCACCCCGCGGTTGAGAGACGTTTGGCTAACTGGCAACATGCTTTAGCTAGGATAGGAACCTTCCCTTTGGTATTGCTCTTAGGGTTGAGCTGGTATTTAACCACATATATGTAAAAGCATATCATTTAGAAGCAGCATAGCGGGTGCAGTGCTGTTCTCCCATATGAAACACTATTTGTGTTTGATTCCCTGTTTGCAGAGCTGGTTGGCCACGGAGGGCCAACATTGACTCCTGCCACCCGTATGAATTAGGGCCTTGCGTCTTACTGTACCAACCCTGGGAGACGCCGCCACCTAACCCTCTCCTTTGGGGGTGTGCTGGCCTCCTTCAGCTTGTCCTGAATATGTTGAAAGTAAAGGTTTGAGGAAACAAGAAGTGGAAGGGAATGATTTATGACAGCCAGTTGTGTTCCAGGTGGAAGGGTACGTCGAGGGATATGGGAGGCTAGTGGAAAGAGCGGTAGCATATAAAACTCCTCTCCTGTCCTCCCTGAAGCCATATTTCCAGATGTCTAGCCACCTGTATTCAAGTGACTGATCCTAAGTGTTCGTCATACCCAGTTCGCTACTTGCCGGTTCTAAGTTTTATCGTCTGGCGTGGCCTCCGGTTCCGACACTTGCCTGTCAGTCCACCCAGTGATATCCGAACAGTCAACAGTAAGTCATTGTATGTACATGAGTCACCATGTATGCCTCCATCATCAAGTAACACCAAACACAATCATCAGTCATCTTCATTCGATTATCCTTACCATCCCCATATCCACGTGTCTGCCTACCTT